AAGAGTAGAGGATGCAGTCAGGTGTTATAGCATTTTATGGACATACATGGCATCTACAAGGCAAATGTTTTGAAAATAGTATTTTAAAATGCCAACCTAAGTACATTTTTTAATGCAAAATGAGCATTTTAATAAAGTAGCCCAAAGAAAGATCAGAGCCTCATTGCCTAAATGCACAGGCTATCGTAATGTATTCTAAGCCTGGGAAACCTGGATTTATTTGGAGTGTGAGTTAGCCTTACCCTCTGTTGTCTCTGCAGCAATAAGGGAAGACTTTTTTTAGGCAAGGTCTCACTTATGTAGTTCAAACTGGCCTTCATCTTCCTAGGTAGCCTGGGCTGGCCTCCTGCCTCAGCCTCTCAAGTGCTGGGATTATAGGCATGTGCCACCAGGCCCAGCAGGAGTGACTTTTTACAAATAGAGTAACACTTTAAAAATTGTATAATTGTAGGTTATATTTTAATGTCAGTTTTATAGGTGCTACTTTTCCTTCGAAATTTCATGAGGAATTTATTATGTACAGTTGTATGACATTAGTTGTCTTAATTTGTAATAAATTTGTTTTTAAATGCTTTTTTTTTTTTTGGTACCAGGGATCGAACTCGGGTCCTTGCACTTGCACAGCAGGCAGTGAAACCACTGAGCTAAATCCCCTACCCCTTAAATGCTTTTTTTACTGGTCATTCTTTGGCATCCATATAAACTTGTCTCTGTAACATTAAAAGGCATGGCAGGCCTCTGTATCTATGTGGTATTCAGAGTTGGTGATTTGGGCCTGTTGAGGAGACAAAGTGGGATGGTAATAGGAACACTCCTTGGTAGAAGAAGGTTGGTTCTAGCTACATTAGGATGACTTGGTACACTTGTACAGTGTGTAGAAACATGGCTGTATCATCAGGTTTTTACCTTGGGAAACCACCAAGACTTATGGACATGTCTGAGTTGGGTCACCCTTCTAGGGGACAAGTATGATTGTTGTAGATTTATCTGACCCAGATTTTCTTTGTCCCTCATACCACTACCCAAGGGCTCAAAACCTGCCATCACAGCAGTGTCACAGTGGGCTCCCCAGCTTCCCACCAAGGCGGAGCTGAATCCATCTTCTCTTCTAAGAACCCAACGGGAAAGACAGAGATGAAGTAAAATGCAATTGAGCCAGGTGTGATGGCACAAGCTTGTAATCCCAGTTTTTGGGAGGCTGAGGCAGGAGGATCACAAGTTCAAGGTCATTCTGGGCAATTTAATGAGACCCAATCTCAAAATAAAAATAACAAAGGGTTAAGGGCCAGGGATTTAGCTCAGTGGTTCAGTCACCTGCCTTCCAAGCACAAAGTCCCGAGTTCGATCCCTGGTACCAAAA